GGCTGGAGCTGACAAAGATGCAGCAACGACAGAAGGGGCAACGGCTTGTGTTATTGCCGCCCAGAACGGCTACTTGGAAGTTGTGCGATTGTTGCTTGAGGCTGGAGCTACAAAAGATGCAGCAACGACAGGAGGGGCAGGAATGGCTTTGATGGCTGCTGCCTATGAAGGCCACTTGGAAGTTGTGCGATTGTTGCTTGAGGGTGGAGATGACAAAGATGCAACAACGACAGAAGGTGCAAGGGCTTTGCTTATTGCCGCTCGGATTGCCGCTCGGAATGGGCATCGGGAAGTTGTGCGATTGTTGCTTGAGGTCCTTGAGGCTGGAGAGGACAAGGATGCAGCAACTGTAACTGGGGCAACGCCTGTTGGTTAGTCTTACGATTTGACTCAGCAGTCTAGCTGCTGTGCAAGGACCAGCATAGCCAAATGGAGACTCTTGATTTTTATTTCGCCCCCAGGCCTGAAATGGATTGTCCAATTCAGTTGGGGTTGCTGTTAATCAAGACCATCGAAACATACCCGACACGTGTATGAAACATTATTTGTCTTCGGTCTGGACAAGTTCATCAAAACATACCAGGCCTTCCGTTTGAGGTGCCTACCCCGGTCGCCTCTTCTCCAGTTTTTTGATCTCAGGGGTCTCCAGAAACCACGGCGTTGCGGGGCGCCAAACGGGTTTCGGTCCGCTCTTGGATGCGAAGGCCTCGATCGAGGAGGTCGGTGTGAGGAACTCCAACATAGCGAGGTCCAGGAAACCCCGATCTTGTCAGATTCTCCGAAGGCCGACCGATGCCACGTTCTGGTTTTGTGCCAAGGGTGTGTGTGTGTCCCATTACTGTACCAGTGCCGTCAGTCAAAGAGGATCACACTTTTGGAAAAAGGCCCTGCCAACCAGCCAAGATCAGCCAAAGCATCATCATCCGGTCGGGACATGGGTCGACATAGCCAATGACCGGTTGGATATCTGGACATTCTGTGCTTTCTTCTTGTGACCTAGTCATAGCGGGACGGCCCAAAGGAAGACCCCACCCGAACAGTTCCTGGCGAAGCAGTTCTGTTGAACGGTTCCTTTACGGTTCCGAGTGAAGAAGTATCAGAGCTTGCCACCCGTCACCGACAGAATTCTCTCAATCAAACAACTCCAGACAGATGTTTTCTGAGTTTTTACTTTTTCTGGATTCCACAGATCGAACTGGTGGATGATGCTCTCTTTGTGTGACTCCAGATGCAGCGACATATGCTCTCCACAGCTCCAGCGATTGACCTTCGCTCACGTCCGATCCGTTCGAACGGGACCGCCTTCAGTGACCCCGATGGGTGGAACCCGACGGCGCCGGTGAAACGACCCTCTGCCGGTTCCGCGACCTGTGCAGACGGACAAGCTCATGAAGGACCAAAGCGAGCAGATCATGGAGCCCCAGCCGTCGGGTTCGGCCGGTCAAACACCTCGGGGTGGTTTTTAGTTGATCGTCGATGGCCGATACCTCGGTGCGACTGGAATTGGGCGGTTTGGGTGGTGTTGCTGGAAGTGAGAAGTAGAAGCATTGACCCGTCATACGAAGTGTGGTCCGTCATAGTCCTGCCGAACTCGGCTCTGTTTGGACCAATGGATGGGGTCATTACCGAGCCGCGGAGGTCGGTGGGACGGTGCTACAGAGGAAGCGTGCTACTTGGGCGCCACCTGCGACTGATGAACGCTAGCCGCTCCAGTGAGGAACCGAGACAACAGAAGGAACGTGGTTCCGGCGCCAGCTTGAGATCCCTGACACAGGAAGTAGCTGAAGCAGCTAACCTTCAAGCAATTTGTCCCACATGCTCCCCTCGGAACCAGAAGCAAGCGCAGATCAGAACCTTCCTACCTGGGGGTCTCGGTGACCGTACCTCGGAAAAATGAGTGTATAACAAGTATATAACAAGTATATACCAGGACCCTCCTGTCGGGGTGCCCTGTCTGGAAGCCATCCTAGTGTGGGGTAGTCCAGCCAGGACACCCCGATGGTCGGAGGGTCCTGGTATTTTGTTCTTCCCTTTTGGGTCATGTCACATCTTCCGGTCGTTCGGTGCTTGCAGAGCTCGGAGTCGATGTGCCGCGCGGTGGTCTCGCGCTGAGGATCTGCTGCGATCCCTGGAGACGCGCCTGACGCCCACCGACGCCGCACGCCTCGGGGTGGAGATCACCGTCCATGACCGGAAAGTGCCGGTGGAACCGTCAGGGGGGCAGAAGCGGCCGGGGGCGTTAGCCGCCGGGTTTTCTTGTTTGGAACCGTGCTTTTCTTATGACCCTCCAGTACCAAAACGCATGGAAGGGCTTGTAAGGGGCGAGAGGATTGATGCCGGAGGGATCGCAAGTCGGCGTGGTTGCGTTTTTTCTTGTTTTCTTTGCTCGCGTTTTGGGTCACTGGTGGAATGTTTTTGACCCATTTGGTTTCCGTGTTCGTTTGTAATTGCCATGTTTTCGGGCAAAGATCAGATATAGTGCACTGGAAGACGGGGTTTGAGATTGTGTGGAAGGGGCATGGAAGTTCTGGCGACCATCATCTGAGGACTGCCACCTAAACTTGGTCTTTTGCAGAGGGTTTCTTTCAGCATTCATGTCCCTCGGCAAAAGACCAAAGCACCAAAAGAGACGTGAAGGTGGATATTGTCCTAGGTGGATGTGTATGCTCTATGACTGTTGAAGGGAATGTAACATCACGGCCGTGGATATCCTGGGGAGCTCCTGGCCGTCTGTTGGTCAAGCAGGTATGGATGGTCTTCTAGCGCCAAGACTCAGTCAACACCTGTCCTCTGGTGCGAAGTCCCACGTGCGAAGTCAGCACCCGACCGGACAGGACATCGCCAAGATCTTGTACCTCAACAACCCCTGGGGAGAGGTGGAGAGTGTGGAGGACATGAAGAGCCTTTGATGAACACATCAGCAGATTGGGTGCACTCTATGGGCACTATGAAACTATATACTGGTGTTTGCTATACAAATTCAGTTCTTTATGTTGGGAAACCTCTGTGTTCTAGCCATTTTTTCACAGAACCGACTGCTTCAATGATCTCTGCGTTCTCGCCAATTGTTCGCGAAACGACTGTATCAATGATGCATGACTGCTTTGCTGCAATCTTGCAGTTGGATGCGATTGCTGTTTTGATGGTTGTCTAGAATAACAAGTGCTTGATCCACTTATCCACTTGATATTGCAATATTGACTCGTGCGAAGGACACTCAACATATGTTTGCATGTTTGCATCGTTTTTCAGAGACTCCCTGTGCATTCTTTGATCATGACCTCAAGCAGAAGCGCTTCTTCCTGACAAGCTCATCCCCCTGTTGCTGTCGAGCCCAATCTCGGGGCTAGCTATCCGACCGAAGAAAAAGGTGAACAAAACCATACCACCAACACGCATAGCTTTGTTGCTCCACACCACCATACCACTGGTCTATTGCACACAGGTCTACCGGTACACATGGCCGTCTCAAACTGAGGCCGGATGCCTTTCAGGGTGATATGGTTCCAGTGAACGTCCGCCAGCTGAAAGCCTTTGCCGACGTCGCCGAGCGCAAGCTGGTGCCCTCCACCGTGCGCGCGCAGCGCGCGCAGCAGCGCGCACGGCAGAAGCGGCATGCGCGGCGGCACTTGGGAGACTGGATGCCGGAGTTGGATCCCTATGCCTTTGGTGTAGGACTGCAGAAGCATTTGATTCAGCGGTGAAGGCGGGTTCCCACTTAACGACTTGTTGAGATTGAGGGGACTCGACTTGCCCTGGAGGGGTCTTTTTCTCCTTTAACACGAACGTTCTTGGCAGATTGGTGAAGGTGTGAGCATCCAATGTGTTGGTGCAAAGGGGTTGACCATACCCCAGCCTTCGGTTCGACCATTCAAAGAGTCCTTCGTCAAACGGCTCGGTTGTTTGGGATTCAGGCCGCCTATATCCATGGTGAGAAAGCCAAATGAGCCATGGTCAAAACTAGGGATTATCAACCTACTAGGGGACGGCCCATTGGATAATGGTGATTTATACTGACCATTATAAGGGATGGGATGACCATACCAAATATATGGAGTTTTGACTATAGCTCAAATGGGCATGGGTACTGTCGCGTGTTTGGACCGACAGAGTTTTCCGGTATTTTGGCGTTGAATCCGGGTGCTGCTTGGATTCGCTTCGAGGAGAAACCTGGGAGAATGCCACGGTGCCCTTCTGCTGCTTGGACGGGGCATGCGGATCTCGGTCCGTCCCGGTCAGACGTCAACCCACGTTCGAAGCCCGTTGAAGAACCCTAGTTTCGACATCTATAGACCATCAGACTAATTATCCCCAAAGAGGAAGACCCCCATGAAGAACGAGTCCCAATTTGGTTCAGGTCAAACACCTCTCCTGGCCGAAGTCTTCCATGTTTCCACCCAACGGGTGGCTCGAAACACACCACGGGTCCTTCGCGAGGCGAAACGGTCCACGGCATCGGTCGCGCCGGTCGGCATCGGCCGCGCGGTATCCGAGGCTTTCATTCGAAGACCGCGGAGTCCGTGAAGGATGCGGTGCGGAAGGCGGTGATGCAGCTCGGGAGACCACAAGGAGACCAGGGAGCCATCAAAGGGGGGGGGGGAAGAGGGCGAATGTGTTGGGGAGGAATTCAGGGGAAAGCTCCTCAACAGACCCAAAGACCAAGAGTTGAACAGTTTTGGGTGTTGCACATGTACAGGGAGAACCTGGAGATGTATTTTTCTCAAAAGTGCCCTCGACACATCTGGACTGGAGGCGTCGGTTTGGTCTGCGGTCAACCTGGGGTGGTAGTTTGCGCATCCAAACCTGGAACCCCCAGTCCCAACCAGACAGAAATGGATGGAACGAAGCCCAGTCCCAGTCATTTCCTATCTCAGTCGCTGGCGAAACGACCAGAACTCTGGGGTTCGTTCCTGGGATTTCGGGATCAGCCTTTGGGGGCTCCACGAAAGCCAGGTCTGGACAACAGGGAAGAAGATCATTGAAGTGGTAGGCTCCACATGGAAAAACGCCGCGGTCACCGTGTTGGCACCCGTTGGCGTTCGTGATTGGTTTGCCTCACAAATCGCGCCAAGCAATTCGGAGGATCGAGCACTGAAGGATAGAGCACTGAAGGATACCCTGTGTCGAGTTTCGGGCCCCCGTGTCGTGTTCGAAACGGGGTGTTCTCGGGGGTTTCAATCCGCAGGGCTTTGTTAAACATAGCAGCCGCTCTGCTGGACCATGTTCATGTCCAACGAAATGCACCGCACCTGGAGTGCCCGAATTTTCAGACGTGAAGAAGTTGGGCTCTGCACCTGGCGATGGAGCCGTGAGCGAACCCTGATCTTTTTTGTATGTGTAGGTGCCCCTAGATGCCTGGCAGAACAGAGAGGAATGATTGGGATGACTTAAGACTGGCGCAAATCCCGGCAAGCCTCCTCATCTGAAGCCTCCTCTCAAGCCGCCTCATCTTCATGGTTCCTTGCGGTGATGCATGTGTTCATGGATGACATGCATCCATTTGGTTCTAAGTTCGGCCTCCAGTTCCTTGAGATGGATCCGTCTCTTCAGTGGGACATCATCCGAAACAAGTCTAGTCTGGTATCCAAGAGAGGTAGCCAGTGACCGGACCCGGAACACCTGGGGTAATTCACTGGGATAGTCGAAGCAGTGGGGCTTCTCCTGCCTCTTCTCCTCCGCCCTCCACCAGCCACCACCGTCTCGGTCCACCAGTGGGTAGAGGCCGGATGGTGGCCGACACGGCCCGGTGTGGCCCCGAGGCAGTTCTTGAAGGCGGTGCCCTGCATCAAATTCCAAGAAGTGGACTACAAGAGCGGCGATCGATGCGAGGTCAGACACAGAAACGGACGGAGCGGGACTCGTTCAAGTCGATGCGACGGGTGGGGTGGTTGGGACAGCAGAACGTGACTTGCTACAAAGGTTTCGTGGTGAATTGCATGAACCAACCAGTGACGTTCTCACAGAATGGGCAGGTGGGAGCTATATAATCCGAATGTTTTACACGCAGGATTCCTGGGGTTCTTCAAGGGTTTTACTTTAATCTTTTAGGAGCTGCAATTCCTTGGACATGTCGAGTCTCAAATCCCAGCGGTCGACAAAATAAGGATCAATCAGGATCAAATCAATCTTAAGAGCTCTGGAATTCTTTTAAAACCCGGTTGAGAGCTGCAACGATGAATAAGACTGGACAGTAGCTCGGCTTGCTCTGGACCTTTGTCCGCCGTCATTCCCGTGACATCGCGGGCGGCATATTATCGCTTTTGTGATGGAGCTCCCGGATTTTCCGGGTCCTATGGACCTGGAACCACTGATAACGGTTCTTCCTTGGAACGCTGTTTGATGCTAGCTATACTCACTGGAGGTGTCCCCGGAGTACGGCCCCAAACATGGGGCACGAGCGAGGGGGTTCTTGCCCATTTGGAAGTCCAGTCTCAAGCCGCTTGAAACTGGCTGAGCAGCAGGGAACCAGTTGGAACTGATTCTTGAACAGACCCAAACGCGTGTGCTAACTGGAATCACCAGGTGTCTTGCAGCTCGAAATTCAACTTCCGAACTAAAGTCTGAATCCATTTGGCATACTTCTTACGATAGAATTATCTTTATGTCAACATTTTTTAGAAAGAGACTCCAAAGACTCCAAAGATTGATCACTCTTTTAGTCCCATAATGCTCTATGAAACTATGTTGAACATGTCCTGATGTACGTTGTAAATACAATGAAGTCTATCTCTACAAGATGGTAGAACAGCAGAAGTGGCATAGAACTGATACTAAAGCTCCTGATACTATAACACTATGACTATAACATGTGAATGTCATAATCATCGGCTGGCCGATGCACATGTACTTGCAAGCTTCACGCAGCCTTTTTTCATTCCATCACGCGTCGGGCGCTCAACCTTGGGCATTGCAGGCGAGGGGGGCACGGGGGCATCAGGGTGTGCTGGATGTGCTGGCATGTGTAGTGAGCATGCTTTTTGGTGAGCTGCAAATCTGACCGGTGCTTCGATTCCTATTTGTGCTCGAGATGGAGGACCTATCCTCACCCATGCTCTCTCTTCGAGCATACACTCCATCTCACCGGTGGAGATGCCCTCGTTGACATCTTCATCCCATGGCAGCGGCTACATCCCAACAGAGCTGTCGACGGAGGTGGAGGTGGTGACGGAGGTCCTGACGGAGGTGGCGACAGAGGTGGCCTCGTCAACCCAGACGGAGATGCTGGACTCGGCCTCCGCTCTAAAAGTATCCTCCAGTGGACCGACAACTGAGGGAGGCAGTTCAGGCCTGAGTGTCTTGGAATCTAGCTTGCTGGTGGTAATTTCTAGTGCACCGGCTTGCCGGTGGCAGGGCCAACACTTTCTAGTGCACCGGCTTGCCGGTGGCAGGGCCAACACTTTCTAGTGCACCGGCTTGCCGGTGGGGAGGCCTATATAGTTTCTAGTGCACCAGCGTCCATTACACTCTGTTGCGGTTGAGCCCTGGCTCCCTGTTGACAAAGCCAAGTACAAGGGTGCAGCGAACATTTTTGGTCGATGGACTCCTGATGCCACCAAGGCTTGCCGGAAGAGAAAGAATCAGATGAAAGCATTCGCGTGATAAATCTGGAGATCCCGTTGTCTACCTTCACCACTTTCAAGACAACAGTGTGGGCTTAGTCCTCCAAGAAGTTTGCTTGGGGCAAGGGAGGCCAGAGCGTCTACATTACGTGGAGGTTGCAAAGCACGCGGCATTGCTGTTGCGGGTGTGAAAAAACATCTAGCTGCACCGGGCGTGCTGCTTTTCCCACCAGCTTGCCGATGTAAGGTTCACCCGTCGGGTTGAACATCTATGAGCCATTGCGCTAGGTGTGCGTGTGCGCTCACTCCTCTTTATTTGCAGCTGCCATGGACCGTCGGGAAACTCAATCTTGTGGTCACCAATGGTCGGGGTGTGGCTACAGGGAAGAATATTTCGACTGGAGGCTGTCTTGCCTTCTTCTTCTAGGTTTACCCATCATCTTGTGTTTACATATCGACTTGCAGGTTTGGTCCGGTGGACTAACTTGCAGTAAAACAGCGATGTGGCTCCCAGTCAAGTATGAACTTCAAACGTGATGATGTGCTCCGACATAAACATCGAGCACACAAAGCTGGTACTTCACGACACAAAACTGCCCATTGCCAATGAACAAGCCACAGCTTTCAGAACAAATACTTTCAAAACCATCGCCGCAGAACAAAGAAGACAAATACATGGCAAATACATGACAAACACAACAAACACTAATTTGCCAAGCCACTTTCCCTCTCGCATCCCCGCCGGTCGATGGCCTGCCTTTGCTGAACACTGCAGGGCCTGCGATAATGTCGTGGCAAGCTCAATGGCGCCTCGTTCAAAAATTGAGCTGCGACTTTGGCAGTTTTTTTCCCGATAGCAATAGCATGGGTTTGTATACACTCCTTAGGCGCCTGGGCGCCATCGGATCTACGGCCCCCAGCCTGGGCGGTGGTGTCCCGGTGTCCGGGTCATGTTTAGGTGGTGTCTCGGTATGTCTCGGTCATCCCCGTTCCAAACTATCAAGGGTTGTGAATGGGTCGGGCAACAGCATCGTGGAATGGCTAGTGCGTCTAGTGCATTGCGTATCTATATAACTTTCCCTCCTCCAATCTGAAAGCCCTCCTGGCCTCCACGATCAGGAGCCGTTCATGCAGTTACCAGAGCTATGAGCGCCTGGCAGGGAAAATGCAAAGAGCTCGAGTGTGCATGTACATCGGCCGGCCGATGAGTGTGACATTCACACGTCATAGTATCAGGAGTTATAGTTTCAGGTCTATGTGACTTCTGCTGTGCTATCAACTTGTAGAGGTAGACAGCTGTAGTTCAAGACATGTTCAGCATAGGTTCATTGAGAAATGTTTGGACACGAAAGTGACTTCTGCTGTGCTATCATCTTGTGTAGATAGACTTCATTGTATTTACCAACTACATCAGGACATGATCAGCGTATGTTCAATGAAAGCTAAGAATAGTCAATCCTTGGAGTCTCTTTCCTAAAATCTTAACATTTTCTATATACTTCTGGTTTTTGGGCTTAACAATGCTGGTGGGTGAGGTGGCTATCTACGATCCAAGTCGCAGATCGCAGTGCGAATCGCCAGGGGACTGGTCCTTCGGTGTTGATCACCTCTGATCCTGGTGGTTGTTGGTCACACGTGGGGATGCTCCGCCACTGGCCCTGCAAATCGGACATCTCGAGATCGCTCCATTCTGGTCCAGTGTGGTCCATTGCGGGGAAATATCACGGTCGCTTTGGTCGTTTCAGGGGTCCTTTTGGGGGTCCATTGAATGTGTCATCCGATTTTCAGAGTTCTTGAGATGAAGTCTGAGGTGAGGACGCGCCAGCATTGGCTGAGACTTTTGATATGGAGAGGTCGCTGAACTCCTTTAGGACGAAGTCACGTTAGGCAGTTTGGCTCGAGCTCCAAGTTGGCCAACAAAGAGTCGTTCAGAGGGTTGGCGATAATCAGACGCCCAAGGGGTTGCCGTGATTCACTGGTTCATACTCAGAACCACGAAAAGGATCCATCGATTTGATCTTGTTGCGAGACGCGGTTCTTTTGCAGTCCTTGGAAGGCCACTTTTGTGGGCACCTTCGGAGGATCACTCACCGGAGGATCAACACTTCTCACAACCAGGCTTCTTCCCTAAGAATCCGAACGGGCCCGACACCTTCGAAGGGGTCCGGACCCTCAATCCCTAAGTGTTGCTTCGGATTCATCGGGTTTTTCTAACATCTCCCGCGATCCGCACTATCCCGTGCACCTGCTCAGATGGAGGGTGTTTTGAGGGAGTTCCATCCGAGGTGACTACCCCCAACGCGTGAACTTGCAGCATCCGGGTTGCGACACCGTGGGCACTGCCTTGCACCAGCTGGGGCATACCTTGGGCATGGCACATGAGCAGAGCCGGCCCGACCGAGATAAATATGCCACTTGGACTGACCGTGGAGAGCTGTTTGGGGGGGGACAGTGGGGTTGGGGCTTCACTTCAGGGGTCTCCAAATGGTTTGCTTGAAGAACGTGGAAGTGGAAGTGGATGGTACCCACCCTGTCAAGGAGGATCGTTTTTGGGTCGGGTCAGGCCCTCTGGTTCCATATGAGAGTGAGTCAGAAGGTCGGATACCTCAAGACTCCCTGCATTCTGCAGCGAGACTTCTTAGACTTGGATGAGGAGTGCACCCTGGATGCCAAAGTATATATATATATAGAATATCATTCATTGCAATGAGTAGTTGCATGGTTGGATTCACCTGTTTTGTGTGGGAAGGCGAAGGAAGACTGATTTGTGTTCAGTTGCATGTGGGATTGTACCTGTAGATGACGCTTGTCCAACTCGTTTCAGACAGCTCTTGGGAGTTCATCAAGTCCACCGAGCCGAATCACCGCCTGGCGCCTGGCCTTGTTTGCGGCTCTGAAAACAACCATCCCACGTTCGTGAGTCTGCAGGTCTGGTGTTACCCCAGGTCACAGCAACTCAATCTGATAGTAACAAAGTCAACCCTCTTCTTCCAGTCCCAAACCTTTTTACTGTCTATCTATTTTTTGAGTGCGCTAATTACTAATTATATACTCTTGATGAAAGAGTTCTTTGGAAAACCACCAAACATGTACCTCTCACCCTGCAATTCGCAAGGAATCCTCTCCTGAAAACATCACACTCCCTTCACGCCCATCAAACATCGGCGGCATTCCGTCGAGGGACACTCTGCCCTGCTTCGCCCTGCTTCAATCCTCGAGCGACCCTGTGGTCTTTCGGCCCCAGTCTAAGTGAGGTGCATCTTCACCCGAAGTTTATTCAGGAAGGCGCGACCCGGGACAAAACCTGTGTTGAAGGGGTTCCTGTGCTTTCACGCGCTAGGTAGATCTCCACCGGGTCGTGGTCGGGGGCAGGTGCAACGAGTCGGGTTCCAGAGGAACTGGACAGACGCCGAACTCATCGACAGAGTTGATGAACCCTAGGGCTCCTGGCCCACCTCCTGAGAAGATGGTTGGGGTGGGTGCCAGGGGGGTCTAACAACCTTCTGAGGATATGGTTGGAGCCTTAGGGGAATATCCCTGGGAGTCAAGGTCGACCATCAAAAGGGTCTGACGAACGGCGACCCGAAGAAGTTCGGACTTTTCTTTACTGAAAGTCGGTCAACATATAGTCGGACTGGACTTAGGGAATATATTTCAGGATCATCCAATTTGTATCAATTTGTCTATCATCCATTGCTGTTGGGTCTATCCATTGGACACCCACTGGATGGTACATACTACTCCTTTGATGTGGAAGACTTATCTTCACTATAGTCACCAGTGCAATCTTGAATCTGTTGGGCCCACCAGTATCGGAAGCAATGGTGATTCTGTGGATCTGTCAAGTCAGCTCCTTCACGACCAGTCGATGGGAGTCCGCTCCCCGTCGCCTTTTTCCGGAGGTTTCTTTTCCTTGAAGGCTTTGGATTTTGGCTTTTGGCCACCTAATTCATAGCGATCCCCAAAGAGGTGACCATGGCACGGTTTCCTGTATTTTCTACGTGGGGAAAAGCCGAACTTCTATCTATTTGGGGACCACTGTAATCAAGTTGAACGCTTGTTTTGTGAAGTTGGAAGGTTTTGGCCGGAACGGTTTTTGATCTTTTTGTGCAGGCGACATGGAGGACAATTGTCTCACGAGGTTCATCTAATCAGAAGCAGCCATGGAAGTCCGCAGGTGATCAAGAACCACACCTCCAACGCACCCATCAACAGCCCTCCTGTGGCGCCTTACTTCGTTCATGTCTCATGCTGTCTCATGGTTCGGTTTGGGTCTACGTTTTTGCCATCTTGTCTCACCTCACCTCACCTGGGCTCACACGAGCTCGCTCCGTGGGTCTGGCAGACTAGGAGACCGAGGTGTTGGGACGAGGTCAGTCGAAACCAAGGGTGGCTCGAGTTCTTGTTCGTCCGTCCGGCTCCGAACCATCCGAGGGAGGAGTCGTAGAAGGAGGACGAGGCAACTACCAGGACACCGTTCGAGGTGTCTATAAATAGCCTCTTAAAGAGGTTTCCAGAGGCGTCCAAAAAGCACCGGGCGAACGGAAGGTGCTGGTATGGAGTTTCTGTTGGTTTGAGGGGCCATTTCGGCCTACTGAGCACTTCAAACAGCGCACCGTCGGGACCTTTTCTTCCTTCCCAAAGGACCACGACCGTCGGGCCGGTCCCATGGTACACGGTACGCGCGGTACGCGCCGCGCCAGACTCCTTAGACAAGTTCAATATGGCGGCCACCACCCACAGGTTACAGCGACCCTATGTGGCCCGGTTGGACTTCAGCGGTTGCGTGCGGTGGTGACGACAGAGTCGTCGTGGGTATCACGGCGGTGGTTTCTCATCACGTGAACATCTGACATGATTCCGACTCTCTTCCAGACTCGGCCACGTGCCTTCAGACGCTCGCCGAACATCGCCCTTCTTTAAGTAGAGGAAAACGATTTCGTCCTGTCGGGCCCGGAACTACCCTTTCGGGCGGCCGGAGGAGGAGCCCCCTACCAACCCACCCGGGAGTCCGGAACTCGAACGGTCGAACGGTCTCGGTCTCGGACCGTCGAAAGCCCGAGTGCCGCGTCCTAGGTGTTCGTCTCCCGACTCGACTGGACCGGTCGACCGGTCCCGGAAATGCAAACCATATCGCAGACACTCCATGTATGCCATATATGCCTACATTGGGGTGGTTTGAGGGGTCAATGTAGGCATATATGGCATACATGGAGTGTCTGGGTACCCTAGAAGTCCAGTTCGTACTATCTATTGACCGTCTGAAGTAGTTCGGAAGTTCCCGAACTCAGGTCCCCGTTCGTGAGACCAATCTTTGTATAGTCGACTGGACTCCCAGGGTATAGGGATTGGTGAGGGTCGGTTTCCAGACCCCGTCCAGACCAGAAGGATGAGGGTCGGTCCGACCCCTGGCAGCCGGTCCCTCGGGGGTTCAAGGGACGAGTGAGTTCGGGTCGCGTCACTGGGCGGATGGTCAACTTCTGCTCCACCACCATCCAGCTTGAAGAATGAGCTGTTACCATCAAGCTGAACTCGAGAGCTGTCACCACTTGGGAGCCAAGAAACCTTTCCCAAAGAACGGCGTCTGAAAGTAAGGGACCCAATCTGCCATGGAGCAGCCATATATATCAGTTGTTTGGGTTTCCAGGTAACTGGTATATCTTCCTAAACTAAGTGGTTTTCACTGTGACAGTGCTAAATTATACTAAACCCGTCTGGTTTGACCCCGGCTGCTGACTGCTGGTGGTGTTCCACCTCTTTTTGGTATGTCTGAAAAGGGTGGACAGACCACCAAGGGTGTTCCACTTCAGACAGATTGCGCAACTTGAGTCTGACTGGAGTGAAGTGATACTCCACAAAGGGGGGGAGATCAAACACGATCAAGCTCCCCCAGCACCCTCTAAGAGGTTATATCTTCCTGGATTTGGGTGACCTAAAGCTTGCAAGGGAGCTTTTGGAGAGAACTGGCAGATATTCTTGTCATTTTGACTTCAAAGTACACCAGTGACTAGGTTTGAAAATAGAGCTGCCTTTGTTTTTTTTGAGGACCACATGCCTCCACAGGCGGGGTCATGTGATGCGCTGCATCCACGATCCCAGAATTTCGGAGGGTCCAAAGCGAAAAGAACCCCAAACATGGCTCTCTTTCATCACTGTCGCCATATAGGTGGTTTGACATTTCAAGTGATGACCGCTGAAGGAAGTTTCACTCTGTTTTATCAGGTGAGCTGACATCCGAACGATGCGAACGATGGGGCTCACAGAGATCATGAGACATCCGGTCTCCGACCTCCTCTACGCCCTAGAAGAGCCCCACATGGAACCTGAAAACCCCAGGGTTGTAGAGAAAAATCGTCTTCCAGTCTGCTCCATGCCACCACCAAGCCCGGTTCCATGTGGGTCTCAGGTTACCCAGGTGTACTGAGCCTCGACGCTTTAGCTGCGACGGAACCAACAGGATCCACTATACTATATATACATCTGCTGTTGTTGTCACGCGCGAGTTGCGCAGGTGTTCTGGTCCAGTTTTGGAGATCACCATAGAGACCTCCGAAGAAAAACCACCGCGTGGGTGTTTTATTTTTTCTTGGACGCGGAACAACGGCCTCTGAGACCAAGAGACTTTGCGCGTCGACAGCTCTGACAGCCCAAGGACATGTTGTCGATCATGCACTATGATGCTCGGGCCTTCTCCAAAAACGACTTCAGCAAGACCGTGACACCCACCGATAGCGCCTACGAGGCCGACTCAGGGCGTGGAACGGGACACCGAAAAAAAAACTGGAGAAAGACTCAGAACGACTCCGTGCTTTGTTTTTTCTATTTCTTTTGTGGATGATGTCACATTTTTGCAGAGTATCTACGGGGATGTCCTTTTACTTCTTTACTTCTTCATCTGCTTGAACCTGCTCCACTTGGAGCCTTCTGTTTGGCCACCTCCCCTTCGAGCCTTTTGTTTGGATGCATGATCTTCCGATCTACAAGCAGCGACTGAACGTGGGTGTAGAAAGTAGGAGACCGCCCCACGGCAACGACTGAACGTTCGGGATTTCCCGGTCTACCCGGGGGCAGGCGATTCCGTCTACCCGGAGGAGTTCCGTTTCTTTCGGCGCGCAGGTTTATACCCAAGACCCCGCGAAGTTCGAGCAGTACAAGTTGGGCAATCGCATAGGTGTGTGGGTGGTGGGTGCTGTGAAGTGGTTGGACTGGGACAGCTCCCAAGCATGTTTGTACTTATCCTCGGTGCGTTCATTTGCCAGGGCTTTTGCGATGTGACTTCGCAAGCTGCGAATCTCGCTGAGATTTCACGGTGTGTTCCATCTTTGTTGTAGCAAAATGGCCAGCCTCCGACAGGGATGACCCCCCGGTAGTGACTGACCCGCATGTGTTCCAGCAGGTCACGAGGTTCCAAAGTGGAGCACGTTTGTGGGTACTGAAAAATAGCTATGCGTGACCCTCCCAGTTGAACCCGGAGAAACCTTTTGACTTGGAGAGTGTAACATTGATCTTTATTGGCCCGAAGCATTGGTAATGTATAAAGTAGATCAAAAACGGATAAAATACGGAGTATGTCAATGTTTCTAATCAACACGTGCAGCATTCCAATCAATGCATCCTTTTGTATTGCTGTTGGCGGATGGGAAGAGGCTGAGCGGATGTCACTGACAGTGGAGTGTGCCCAAAAGCTCTGCACAGGTGATGCAGGTGATGCAGTGATACCCCCTTTGTAGATGGACCACAGGGGGCCTGAAAATGACCAGCCTGTGGTGGATTTCGACCATGTTCCGAAGACCAAGCCTGTGGTTTGGGGAGGAGTCCATATGGTCGTGCATCTGGAGTTTCACTCCGAAGCATTCATCATCCGAAGGAGTTCATCGAGTCCGGGTCTCTGTGACCACGTTCGATCGTCTTGGATCACTATTTCCTATTGCCTGGATAGGATCCGCACCCGAAACAAAACAAGGGTTTGGTTTTGAGAAGCCCCAAACCCTTGTGAACAGCAGGGTTCGATCCCTTCAGACTGGAGGGTCCGTAAGGATCCTTAGGGTGATTTGGATTGTCCCATCTGGAGATGGGTCAAAACTTGGAGCCCGAACAGTCCCGTCACGTTGTTGCGAACAGTCCCGTCACGTCGACACGTCAAACCGGTCTCCTGGTGACCCAGCCAGCCATATCCCTTAGAAGTCCAGTTCGACTACCAGGATCTTCCAACAGGTGGTTTTAGAAGCCTAACAGGCGGCTTCTGGGCACTTGTTGTCACCAGGAAACACCTGTTGGAGGGTCCAGGTATATATATGTTTACCGACTCAAGTAAAGGACATTCCGAACTTCGGGTCACCTAGTCAGACCATCCTTTTATTGGTCGACCTTGACTCCCAGGGATCATATCAATCAGTCTAGACTTCAAAGACCCACCTCGATCCATCACAGACTCAGCCCCCAACCCACAGAAACCCATGTCCCGTCGACGTAGTTTGATGCAGTCTTCCTGCTTGGTTCCGATGACTCGCTAGATCGGTCCAAGCGAGCCGGATATTTGGACTGTGGACATGCGAGGAGAGCCGGACCTCCTGACGACCTCCTCGAAACAAGGAAACACGAGCGGTCTACGAGTCGGGAACATGAGTCGGCCGTAGTTTCTGGACCAGCATGGGCTGGTCGCAACTGCCAGCCATTGGTGGCCAGCCACTTGTGGCCAAATTTGCAGCTACTTGGTGACAGCTACTCCTGTTTGAGACTCTTTTCCATCTGCCTCTCTGGTGATATGGCTCATTTTCGGACCGATTCCACCTGGGTGAGACATCCTTCTCAGAACTTACTCCCTCTGGGCGGTTCCCTCCGTGACTCTCGGCCAGTCGGCAGGCTTGACTCAGTTTGATGCGGATCAATTGGCAGATCTCTACCAGTTTGAGCCACTCGGGTCATTCATGTGAAGTCCTCGGTGTAGATGACCTTGCCAAAAGAACTGGAACCACTCTGATATAACGTCACCCAAGGCTACTTGATTTCAGGTTTGTCAGATGTCAAAGGAAATGCTTCACATACCCTGCAGGTCAGTTTGACCTCATTTTGCTGGAGTTGCTCATACAGAAACACTACTCAAGGAGGTAAAGGACCAGGTTTTGCGCAGTCTTTGGACTTGTAGGGATATAGTGCCCAAGCATGCCCAAGCTGCGCAGTGTGTTGGTTGAAGCCCCACCACGCTGCGCAGTCTACGAAGAGCTTTAGATGTCCGCCTTCAAACAAGTTCTGCATCGGTTGCAACGAGGGGGAGAGCTCTTTTTCGTTTGAAACAGGGGTATAGCTCAGGTATTCCTCATGGGTATTAGCATGAATAATCGGCGAAGCAGATTTTGTGGATCTACAGTTTGAAGTTGCTTTCGTTTGGAGAATTCCTCGTGGGACCCAACTGGGAACCAAGGTTTCTCACTGTGCTCTACCAAATTTTTGCTATGATAAAAACAATATAATAATGTATACCAAATTTTTCCTCTACCAAAGCACCTACAGTGGTTTCAGAGTAGATGGCACAACCCGCCCAGAGGTGCTTTGTATGGACCCTCATCTAAAAGACATCTTCAGGTGCCAGTGCCATCTACTCCAAAACCACTGTACCAAAAAAAATTAACCAGTACATGAGGCCTCTGTCTCCGAAGGAGGGAGGTTTTTGTTTGTCTTTCCTGTTTTTTTCTCAGTACGTAGACCTGACTGATGCGAACGGGCAACCAGGCAGTGAAGAGGTTGTGAATGATGAACATGCAGAGCTCTGGGTGAGGTGGGTGATGAACAGGCCGTGTCCATCATGCAGTATTCAGCAGTATGATCAGATGATATTCGGGCGGTGTGTATTCTTTTTCGTCGCAAGTTTGACACTCCAACTCGACTTCTCCCCTCTGAAACGCCGTCTGGACCTCACTGGGCGGAACTCCTGCTTCCAACGCCTGAGGAGTGGCTTTTGCGTGAGTCAGCTGCTCACAAGTGCCAACGAGGCTGCTGCGTGTCAAGATCTGCAGAAAGATGGGAAGGCCTCTTGGAACCGAGCTGTGGAACGTGCCGGGCAGCAGAGTTTATAGTTTAGAGTCATAGACCAGGACCTTCAAAGTGACCTTTTGAGATCCCAGTTTGAGGTCACTTAGTCCATAAAGAGGTCACTTACAGACTCCAAAGAGGTCACCTTGAAGGTCCTGGGAGTTTTGTTGGCATGTTCCCTTTTTGTGGGGTTTGCTGCTACATGCTTCAGTGTGGGGAAGCTTTTGTGGTTGGATTTGTGCCAACGTTTGGTATCATTCTCATCGAAACCCATACACACCCACCAACAGAGGTTGATCTTGGTTCACAAAGCAGATTCCTAGGAGGGAGTCAACTCGGTCCCTACCTTTGAAGTGTTTCAAACAGATGCAGTGCTGCTTTTCCAACAAGTATGCTCTGAACTTTGGCATGTTCGCCCTGGAAGTGAGTCTGTGTTTCCATCCATTTGGGGAGAACCCCCCCCAGCGCCTTCTTCTCCCAGGCCTGGAAAGATGCCTCGGGCCGTGACTGTGAGACCTATGTGAGGCGACCTGAAAGTGTTCACGACTGCGGAGATGGGGGCGTAGGGATGCCAGGGAGCGCTGGCGCGGACGCTCGAGAGTGTATGGTTGTGGATTCCAAAATCATGAGCCCCACTACCACAGGCCCAATTCTCAGTTGTCATTTGGATCCGCGGGAGGTGCTCTTGCTTTCTCCGTAAAACTGCCAGAGCTATATAGCTTATATATAGTTCTCAATTTCTTCATGTCTTGCCCAGCACTCTTAGACTCAGCTTGACCCTCCGTGGGCCCCGGCTCCGCCCTCGTCCTTGGCCTCCCGGTGTCTCCACCGGCCCGGACCGCCCCGGCGTCGGCGCGTTGGCACCGACCCGTTCGGGCCGTTGGCAGAAGGGTTTGAGCAAACAGTGAAACGAACATCAACAGGATGGGGCTGGGAACAGGTAGCCGCGTGTTCGCGAGCGCTCCGCGAGCGATCGCGGGGCCGGGAGAAGCAGTCCAGTGGATCGGGCCAGGATGGAGAAAAATGGCTCCATCGACAGTTGCTGCTTGACTGGTTGAAGCGGAGACCAGTTCAGCAGGAGCGGAGAGACCTATGTTACCCACCAGGACCTCGGCCCGGTGCTTTTTGGAGACCCCGAAAATCACCCTGAACGGCAGGTCCTGGTAGGCCCTATATGTTCCTTCTTTTGTACTTCGGGTTGCCTCTGTGGGCATCCCTACCATGTCCTTTCAATGCCCCTGAAGATTTTACGAAGTACTTCTCTATCCTGAAAAGGCATCTATGGAGTCAATATTGAAAGTGTTCAGCAGCAAACGCCCCTTCCCCAAGATGTATTCTTCCCGCCAAAGTACTCCTGTCTCAAGAGGTGCAATTGAACAGGAAACACCTACTACTGCAAAGAACCTCCTAACGACGATGACCAGACATGGGCCGCTTCTTGTGGTGCCAATGTCCATACTTTTTGTGTTCTATGGGCCCGAGCCATCCAATCACCAACTTCCCCGGTGTCTGTGTTTCCTTGAGCTTTGCAAGTATTCTGCTGCAGATGGATTCGGCAATATTCTGCACCATGCCTCTTTTTGTGAACAACGAGGTTGAAATAGGACTCTCACTACAGTAATATATTTGGTCTTCCAGGGCTTCCAAAAGTCCTAGGACCGTAGGGGCCCACTGGCAGGGTACTCTGTTTGCCGCACTCCCTCGCTGCGCCTTTTTCCCGCACAGCTTGGTCTGAGGCCGCTTTGGGGAGAGTCGAAAGTATTGCTGCCACCTGGACAGCATTGCCTTCGGACCCATCAAGGAAGAAGAGTCCATCGAGACCCTTCGATCAGGTGAAGATGATTCTTTTTTCCCAAACAGTGTGGGCACACTGACTCGTTCTTACGGTAGTGGAAAAGCAGCTGATGTCCTTTTTCTTTTTTCCGAAGCAACATGAAGCAACATGAGGTCACCAGAAGAGTGGTCGGACGGTGAAAAAGCCACGAAGCAGCTGTTCGGGCGAGGCAGAAGGCCCAGTTTTCGCTCCCCAAGGCAGAGTCGGTCCACCGGACCGCAAAACTCTCAAACGCCCAAAAACAGGTTGCCCTTGTTGGGGTGTCCAACCCGAGCAGGGGAGCACTCCGACATCGTTCCAATCCTTTCCGAGCAGGTGCCGGGTTGTTCGTTCCGTTCGGTGGCCACGGTGTCGGGACCGACGGTGGAGTAGTCCAATCCCCGGCATTTGGGGAGAGGTTTTACAAGCCAAAAGAGGTGTGTATTGTTGTAATCTATGAATCAAACGTCTACATTCCAAGTGAGCGGCTCTTTATCAATCGAGTGTACGTTATCGACCAGTGGTTCTCTTTTTTTGGCGTCAAGACAGGCAGGGGTGTGACGGGGTGTTTGACCCCCTGGAATGCCTCAAGTGCCCCTGAATACCCTTCCAAGAGTCAGGTGTCTATAAATATCCTATCAGAGGTGATTCGGGGTGTCCCAAAACCGGCCTTGGGGTCGGTATTGGTAAAAGAGACCCATTTCAGGTCATATATACCAGCACCCTCCAACAGGTCACCAACCTGCGACTTTTAAGTCAGCAAAAGCCTTCAGAGGAGACCTGTAGAGTAGAGTCGGGTGCTGGTAGCAGGTACCTAACTGGCACCGTGTTGCACACCGCACGACGTCCGAGGCGAGTGTGGCGGTGGCTTGAAACTTGAGGACGGTCCGCTCTGTTGGAAGAAACGGGGCGACGGCCCGGGTGAGGGGGCTGTCGCTTTTGTAACTCTTATTCAACCAGCCATTGATTGAGGCAGTCTGCCTGTGTCAACCGAAAATCATGGATTCTACTCTTCCAGGTCTCGGTCTCATACCTGCATACCTACCCAAAAGGAAAAGAACCATCTCCAAACAATCTCAAGCAACCTCAAACTTTACACAGCTCTAACAGGTGAAACTGTGGATTTCGAAGAGAGGTGCGAAGAGATGCAACAGAGAGAAGCGAAGCAAGCGAGCATGGAGTGAGTGATAGGAGGAGCGCTTCTGCTATGGCCGGAGGTTTCAGCCTCGAAAATAGCGCTTTCATCAAAGAGTGATCCAGAGAAATATCCTCCACCTGGAAGCTGACCAGGACTCCCTTGTAGAGGAGAATGGTCTTCCAGGGGCCTTGGCTCTACTGCCATGCCTGCTTCAGGCAGTCAGTGTAACCTTCAATTTTCTAGCCAAACTGACTCGGAAGTCAGCTCCACATCCCACTGTCCTTTTTCCAGGTCTTCCTCTTTTCTTTCCATATCCAACCATCAATCCACAGACCCACAGGTCACCGGCCACTCCTCCAGCATCTCCAATGGATGTGCTACAAGATCCAACTCCCACACACATCCACCGTGCGCCTCGTACACCATCCATGGCGCCCCCCCCGTCTATGCATCTTCCGCCCGGACCGACACTCGGTCGACCGGAGCCGACACCCGGTCAAAACCGCGGAGCGTGCGCTAGACCCGCCGCGCGGCTCGAGGAGTGGTCCTGGGAGTGTGACCTTTGTCAGCCGGTGTCGTTGAATGGTTGCAGCTGTGCGGCGGGCCCCTGGGAGATCAAGCACTACCGGACCAGCGGCTCGGTACCGAGCGAATTTTGGGAGCTCGAGTTTCATCGATTTGGGTCGGTTTTGGAGACATTGATAGAAAGAAGAGAAGGGATTGTTGGGAGGAATTGGAGATGTGCGCTTCGGTGATGCAAAAGTACTTTCTCGAAGATGCTGGTGGTGAAATGGGGTTTTCCGGTCTTCCCCCTGGAGTGCTGGGGGTGTTGGTGGTTGTTGCGCAGAGTTCAAGTAGCCCTGGCAAGGTGCGAAGAACCAAAAGAACCAATAATTGGTTCGTCAAGTGTGAACTCCAAAATTATGTTCAAGAAACACCACTCTCAGGCGAAGGCATTGTCATCCGTTTCGTGCCATTTCCTTCCGATACAGGGAGGTGAGTGGTCTTTTGCGGGGTTTTCGGAGGAGGCGGCGGACACCCAAAGCGGTTCTCTTGATCCACCGAAAACGATGGTGTAAGCCCACGAAAGAGCAGGGCTGCCAGGGCTCTGGTGCTTCGGACAGCGGAGGCGATGGTCTTCCAGTCTTCTGGGCCGTCCTGTAAGCGGGCAGGTGACCATTTCTTTCGTCCGGAACCGCGATCCTGGTGCATCCTGAACCTGGACCCCATCCAAGGTGTAGTTTAATGGACACCCCCTAGCCTGACACCCTTAAGGGGCCCTGGAACGTATCTCATCTAGTTTGACATCAACAGTTTGCGGGCTCTCTTGAGTTGGCATTCTACCTGGCCGTGATTTCGTTTTGATGTTCCCAGATTGAGCTAGCCTTCTGCAGACTGACCAACGAGACCAGGAACATCTCCACATTTTGGAGATTTTTGGCTCCTCAAACAGATCCTTGAGGCCTTATTTTAGTATTAATTTTTTCTCCCAAAGGACAACATTCAGTCACATCCGAATGACCAGCGCACCAGGTCAACCACAGGGCAACCACCGGGCACCAAATGAAGTCCATTTCAGCCACCAACAATTGGAGACCTGGTTCAGTCGGATGCTTCCCACGTTTGGGGCCTCGAAATGCCTTTAAAGGATCAACGAGGTCCGGTGGCTGAACCATTGATGGGGTAAGTGATGGGGTCGACACCAGCATCGCCTCTCACTTTACCAAACTTCATGCTCATGGGCAAAACTCACCCACGGCTCGGTTATGGTCAAAAAAATCATCAGATTTTTTGGACCCATATCTCCCTTTCCCCCCCCAAAACGGCAGGGGCCACCCGCGGACCTGCCTGTGGTCCGAACAAAGAAGCTCGAGGCAAAGCGTGTGGAACTCCAGGGCTCCTGGTGCACTACCCCGTCTGCAAAGCGACTTGGGTTGCAAGGATAGACCTCCAAAAAGGGTGCTGTTTTTATAGCCTTCGAAGAAGCACTGAAGTTGTCGCTGCGTTCAGTTCTCAAGTTCGGGGCTATCACCAGGTTCGGCTTCCTATTAGACCCCTTAGACTCTTCCCGAAGCCAAACACCATCGAAACGGCGACTCGAAGCGGATTTCTTGGGGACCGTCCTTCGACCGTCCTTCCACACGTTTGGACGAAAGGGTCTGGGCACGACGCAGAACGCGGAAGGGGTCTGGGCACAGCTCGGTACGTGGGCGACCCTTTGGGCGACTTTGCTCGCTTCTTCGCTTCTTCAGTGCGTGACCCTTCACGTTCGTTCGTCCACTGAAGAAACTCAAACCTGTCACGTTCTTTATTCCAAAACAGTTTTACTGTTGGGGTTCTCTTTTATAGGAATCACAGGGCAGTCTAGAGGCGGATTTTTTGGGTTGCCGGAGATTCGATGCGGTTCCGCGGGGAGATGTCCACTTCTGAAATTGATGGGTTGCTGAAGTTGTCGCTGCACAGGGTGGCCGGTATCCAGCCCACTACTATTCAGGATTTCCAGTCACAGACCTTAGATAGTCCAGGTAGTTCTTCATTGAATCGACACATCGACACCAACGTCGATGGATAGAGAAGCATGGAGAACGTCTCTGATCTTGGGGCAGCACGTCCTCGCTTTGGCTACCCAGGTGAGCAGCTGCCCCAAGTCCTTTAGCATTGAAGGGCTCCTCGTGGACCATTGCGTTTCTTAGACGAAGTGGAAGCGGCGTAGGTCGTGTGTGAAGCAGCGGTGTTTGTGGAGAAGTGCAGCTGTCCTCACATTCAAGAATATGGAGACCTCCCCGGCAACGAGCCCCTGGAAGAAGGAAAATCGACCAGTCTAAACATTTGCTTGGTCTGGCATGGTTCTGCCCAGTAGGAAATTGGGCCAAACTATGCCAAGCGCAGAGAAAAACGATCCCCAAATATCCAAGCATGTTGGTGCGAAATTATATAGGACAATTGATAATCATTGGATACGATAAAATTGGTGCCTTTCCCAAAATGTATCTCAAGATTATCCCAAGAAGGCTTCATGATTTTGAGAGGGCTGTCTGAAGAAGCTTGTAGGAGAGGATCCCGCAGCTTACCCAAAAGCCTACAGAAGTATCAGAGAAGCCAGGGACGTCACGTAAAAAGCAAAGACATGAGTGGGTAGACGTGGAGACCCGTCTAGAGCAAGTAGTACTGTAGGTAGTGGAAGTTTGTGTCGACGGCTGGAGGAGGTCTGACTGTGGATCTGGGTTCGACCAGCCGAAGAGCCTGCTCCAGTCATCATTCCCGTGGGTTTTGCACGTGGTAACTCAGGTGATGCTTACCTGAGGGCGGCCTGATGGCATGTTCTGGTTCCTTGTAGAATGGGGGAATCTCCGGGAACCTCTCAATTTTCAAGAGAATGAGACAAATTCAGCCCTTGGGTGAAAGCATCTCCTTTCCGATCCACACCATTTGGGTGTACTCTTCATGCACTTCCAGCCCCCAACATGCACTTCCTCTTTGCACTTCCAAGAGCTCCGTGAACTCAACGGCCCTGGTCACGGTCCGTCCACCGTTTGGAGATAGGTCTCGGGTCCATGTGTCTCGCAGGCGATGTACACGGGCTTCACCACCAAGGGATGTCAGTGTCGTCGGCAGCCGAAAGGTTGGACCTACAAAGGTGTGACTTGGCCCAGCCGAAGGGGTCAGGTTCCTGACCACATGAACTCCTGGAGTTGGTCATAGAAGAACACGACGAAACAGGAGGTTTTGCAGGAGCAGGTTTTTCTGGGTCAGACGGGACTTGTAGGGTGGGTGGCCCCTTTTTCTTCCGCGCGGTGTTCGAGGATGTCGAGGTCTGTGTTCGGTGGTGGGTGCTGTGGATGGAGATGGATGCTTTTGGGTTTCATGAGTGAATGAGAGTGAAGCCTGGAGACGGTGTGGTTGGATGCAAGTTGATTTGGATCAAAGCGATCTCATGCTTCCAACCGAGCTTTTTGGACTTTCAAATGGTGAGCAGGGTGAAACGAGGGGCGTGCTCAAGAACAGCATGCTCGCATGCTCATTCTGAGAGGCAATAGCTAATTCTGACCCACCTCAAGTGGATCTACCTTTTTGCTGTTGCAAGATCGCACAGCCAAAGACGTTTTGGAGGGCGCAGGACAGGGATGAAGTGTCCTCAAATAGGATTCTCCACTGTTTGGAACAAGATTTGGGGATGGGTCAAAGCCATTCAACACCTGGAGTCCTGGTTTTACCATGAAGCTGGACCTTCCGGGGGTTTTACCGCCATGACCCACAGCCATAACTGTTGTAGGTGAGGTGAATAGACCTTCACATTCCAACATCTCCAAGCAAAATCAGGACAATCTGAGGATGTGTTGGACATCTCTTCGTGTCCATTTTCCATCTACCAATCCATGATAGCTTGACATGCGATCCAGGGTCGGTGCATGTCGGTGCCGGGTACCGCCCAAGGACACGTGGAAACCCCGGCGATCCGAACTGAACTTCGGCGTTCCTGAGGTTCATGTGGAGGGCACCTGTGGAAATCCCTCGAAGAACCCCTGGGGCGACTGGTGCTTCGTGGAAAAGGATCAAATCGAGTGCCAAAAGGAAGAGTGGGGCATCTGCGAGCACGCGAAGCCGTGAGCAGCTCGCTTCGAAAAGCAGTCGCGCAGCGCAGGCGCTTATTTTTTGCCTGCGGGCTGAACCACTCCGGCTGGGTGGGGTGATGAGTTTTTCAGTGAAGAGTAGATTGCAGCGGTGAGTAGATCCAAGATGATCCAAGGGGTCCACCATTTTGGTCGTCATCACAAATATTCCAGCTGTACTACTGCACAAGCGGTGTAGGCTACCAGTCCATGATGAGGCAATGGTTCCTGTACAACTACCAGTAGTCTCCAGTATTTAGTTCTAAGTCGGGTTGCCGAGCTTGGAGGCTAGTTGCTAGGGGTGCCCAGAACATCCTTTGTGACTCCTGGTAGTTGTTTTCAGCTGTGAGATCTCTGGAATTGCCGATGCTTGGCGCCTTTTTTTTCACGGACCCAAGTCACTGCGAGGACGATCGATGTGGGCTGCTCAATCTGCTTATTGATTGACAACACACCGTGTTTCTCTTTGCACATCCAAAGAAAGCACGCAAAACGCACTACGACGTGTCCTAATCCCGGTCTTCTTTTCTCTTCGGAGTTGATTTCATCTGAATTTGTGTAACGCGGTCCCAATTGAGAACAAGAGGACTTTCTTTTCCCCAAGCTTCCTTCTTTGCGACACTTCCATGTTCACAAGAAGGATCAGAAGGCTTCGATGGATCGATGGTTCTTCACACCGCCCCACCCAGAGCCGCTCCGGTCGACCGTGCTGCTGGTTTGGACTCCGCGAGAGGAGAGAGGGAGTCGGTCGGAGGGTGAGGAGGGGGGCGAGGAAGGAAAACGAAGGGATGGAGCAAGATCGAAGCCGGTATGAAACAGACAACCCTTTTTAATCCTTTTTACTACATGGCCTGATTTTCATCTACATTGATCTACATGATGCCTTGACGTGCCCACGAATCTCATTTTAGGTCCAATGTTCGGTGAAACGTAAGGCTTTTGGATGCGCTGGCTGGGATGAAGGCTCTTTTTTGGAATGATTTTATATCTGAAACAAAGACCTATAGAAGGCGTTCACCTTGTTGGTGCTTTTCTTCTTAGGGATTGGTGTGTTCGCTGCTTCTCCGATCGGGTCGATGCCCACCACGGAAGCTCACGGAGAGGGTCGGAAGGACTTCGGACGTCCGGAGCATCCACTAACTCCGGAGGTTCTAAGACCGGACCCGAACGGCACCGAGTAGATCGATAGGTTCAGTCGGTTGATTTGAACCGACTGACTTGTTATTTGAAGCGATCTGACCTTAGGTTTTGACTTAGGGTCGATTCAAACTGCCCCAAATCATTCGATCAAGAGATCGATTTGCGAGAGCGGGAGGGGGTACTCCGATTGGTGAGGAGGAGCTTTGGAGGAAGAATGTAAGAAGACCCGCCCCCCCAAAGAAAAAAGTAACAGGAAAAGTCGGTGAAACCCAGTTGGCTGGGCTTCTCTGCATTGGTTTGGGGAGGGGAGAAAGCGATTGTAAGGGGAGACGCACTCGTTTCATGTTATTATGTCCGACAACAGCCTCCACTCGACCGCCCCCCAAAGCAGGGGCGCAGCCGGGCGCAGCTCTTTTCTTCGGTGCAGGAAGACGCCGGGGGCCAGCAAATTGCTGCCATAGGTTGATTGAAGTGGCTCCAGTCAACGCCTGGACGCAGCCAGTTAGACCCTAAATACCTATTCTGAACTCCATGAGAGATGATAGATCTATGTGAAGAATTCTCTCTGCAATCAGAAGATATGAATTGATATCAACGTCAGTTCTGAAGGCTGGCCTTTGTCCCACCGGCCGTTCAGTTCCTCGCTGTTGGTTGGAACATTCATCCCTTTCAATGACGACATCTTGCTTGCAAGCGTTTGAAGGACCATTCCATTCCACTTTGTATGTGGTTAGCAACAGTGTTGAACTGCGCGTGGCAATCTCCCAAAACAGTACTGTAATTTGAACAGAAACAACTTGATTTTTTTCAACAACTTGTTGTGCTCTCAGCGAAGCAAACTCAGTAGTCGAATTACCTTCTTTCTTCAGCCAGGTTCCATCGTTTCCCTGCATCGCAGGTTTCACCGTTCTCGCACTCCGAGAGCACTTTTTTCCTCAGCTCGAGGGCACTTTAGAGACAGCCTTCTGCAGGTGTGCACTTTGGCTCGAAACCTTTCAAAAGGCCTTTGCGCTGTGCTTTCAGCTGTGCACCTGGGCTTCTTTTGGAACAAGCATCATGTGGGACATTTGGGGAGTAGGAAGCTGACTGTCCATGAACAGCACTTTGCTCCTGCAAAACCAAACTAAACACCTCCAAACTAGGCAGAAACATCACAAAAAGGAAAGGCAAGATGTATCAACAAGAAAAAGAAGGACATTCAGTTTTATGCAAGGAAAACCGTTTCAGGAGAGAAGGAAGGACGAAGTCGACGTTCCCCAAGAAGTGAGTAAGTGAATGGACTGAGATTTGAAAAAGGAGTTCGATGCCTATTTCCTTTGGTCCAAACTGTGCAGGATTTGGATGCATTTTGCCATTCCGCCCGTCTGCTGAAGTGCAAAGAGCTGGTGTTCTGTCCTCCGGATGCACAACGGCACAGTGCGCCACCAGGTGCTGAACCCGGACTAAGAAACATCGGAGCGACGCCGACGGTTCTTCTTTTGGAGCCCCTTAGCCACTGAACACGCATGAAAAAACACCACCTCGACCTCCACCAGGTCCAAGATGACCTGCACCCACCGCAGGCGGACGTCACCTGAGCTGCGGGGGGGGAGGTGTTCAGAGCCTTTGGAGAAAAGAGGGCTGAGGAGCGAATCTTGCACTACAGAGATTGTGGGTAGCCCAGGTTTCGGTGGGTGTTTTCCATTTCTCTGAACATGCTTCGATCGTTGCACTGAAGCGCAGCGCAGCGCATGCGTGAAACATCTAGTTAGGGCTGATGATGCGGGGCATAGAGCTCTCCCCCTTTTTTTTTCAGCCAATGGCGATACGCTTCTTTACAGTAATCACGGCCCATCTTCGCTTGCTCGTCCAAGCCAGCAACCAGGTTCAGCTCTCCTCCGAAAGAAACATCTCCTCTTTCGGGTCTTACAGCCTTTTCTTTCTCGGAGAGTGCACCGTCTGAGAGTGCACGCATCGACCGATGGAGCCCAGACATGCGTCATGCGACTTTGTCCTGGAAAGGGGGGACTTCTATTGGTGGAGCGACCCAGAACGGGCTTTGGAAGACGAGTACTAGCCATGGTTCTACTATTGTATACAGAAAGACATCTGCACTAAGGAGAAAATGTATGGGAAGCCCGAGAAGCCCTTTTATCATATCCAAGGTGGTTTCGAACTCTCCCTTCAATAGTTGCCACTTACCAGGGAGTGTCTGGCTGATGGTCTGACTTAGGGTCTTACTTTGACTTCCACTTCGTCGCTGGTGAGTGGGCCTTCATATGAAAAAGGCCCTGCAAAGACTGCGAGAAATTTCTTCATCAGACGAACCTGGCTGCCCGTCACCGCAGCACCACTTCGACCGGCCTGGCGACGCCTTCCGACGCTTCCACCCATGTACGCCCTCTCTCCTGAAAAAATCACGCCAAACGATGCAACCAAGCCATTCGCGAGGTTCGAACGTAAAAACTCTGGCAAGTGTGGAAGAACCGCGTTCCTCGCTTACTTCATCTTACTTCAAGAGGTTCTTGGCTGCCAAGAACCTCAGTCTTGGCTCATACCTGGATCTTCCAACTGTGCAGAATTTCTGCCTTTTCATCCATTAAATCAACTAAAATGTATAGATTTTGCACAGTTGGAAGATCTAGGTATTACAAGAGGTCACTTCTTGGGTTGAACCAAACAGCCCCAAACCCCTGAGTCGCGAAGAGACTCCGCCTGTTGGGCCAATAAAAGTGGTCGCATTCGATCATCGGGTGATGAGACGCGGTGTGCAAAAGACTTCTTAGAATGAAGAAAACTATTTTCCAACTTCTTCAAAGTGACCTCTTTGGAGACCCTGATAGTGACCTTTTCCAGGCCCTTTTTGTGACCTCAAACTGGGAGATGACAAGGTCACTTTGAAGAACCAGGTTTGTATTTCTTTCTTTTGCACCATTCATAGCCGGTCTCATCCTTTTCTCGGTGAGAAGAGGTCGGCTTCTTTGGTGTCTTTTTGGTGTCGGGCCCGTCGCCGTCCGAACCGGTTTTTTGGGACGTTCTTTTGTTCCGGTGCTCGGGCCCCGGAAAAGGAAGATGAATGTCCTGCGTTCGTAAGAGTCTGTCACTTTGGTGGGGAACGGATGGTGGGGAACCACTGCAATGATTTGCACCGGGATTGTTACTACTGCTCGGTGGATTTGCCCGACCTTCGCAAGGTGCAGGTGGTTTTTCCAAAACCCGTCCGACTGGCTGAACTGGCCACTGGCCGGCGCTGCCGCTGTGGGCTCAAAGGCACGGAGATTGGAGCTGTTTCGATGGATCACATGTTTCGATGGTGGAGAGTTAGCGGACCGTGGGAAGGCAGCTCCACCTTCATGGCTGCTAGAAGACTTGCTTGTCAGTCGTAGTTTCGACTCTCCAAGACTAGCGGAGCCTCTAATGTGCCTTTTGAAAAGAATGAACACATCACATCACCTGAACATGAGCCCAACCTCTTTAGACTCACTCACTCACCATCCTGCAAAAAGGTCAAGTGTCTGACTTTTCTGACTCACTGACTCTCAAAATTGACTCACTCACTCACAGTTTCCGTTCGACGTCTTCTGCTTGGTCGTTTCCCGAATCCCGGACCAACCCGTCTCGCCGGCTGGGGGATTTCGTCCGCATGACGATCGCCTCTTCTCAGGACAGGGGAGCCGATTGGGGGACGACGAAACCGCCGCGGGATCCACGTTGGCATGCAGGGAAGGGATCCAAAACAGACTTCAGAGAAGAGGATCTATATAGGTGTCCTAACATGAGAGAGTCCATTGACCTATAAGAGAGTCTAATTAATTAATGATCTAAGAGGATCTATAGGAGTCTTTTCGCTTAGAGGAATTCACAGTTTGGAAAGGAGTC